AGTTGAAATCAGACTAAAGCAAGAGACTTCAAAAACAAAGAAATACTCAACAAAGTCAAAACAATGATATAGAATTAAGAACTCTGGTTTAAAATTTTAAAGTATCAGTCAAATTAGAAGCAGCAAACTAAAAAAAAAAAGAAAGAAAAGCTAGAAAAGAAAAAGAAAAAAGAATTAGAGAACAAAATGTCGAAAGCACTATCAAATCAAAAGCTCTAGACAAAATTTATGAGGAATTAAGACCTAATATTGAAATAACAAATTCAACTGAATAGCTGATTAAAGTAATATATCAAATAAGTATTAAAGACTCACAGTCCAATAGTAAAGTGTAGAAGATAAAAAAAGAGATCTGTTTGCAAAGTGGGTATAGTGCCTAAAGAACTAAAGATATATTGATATAAATTCAAGTCAAGATACAATAGCACATAGATAGAAGGAAACCAAAAATTAGAAAAAGAAGAAAAAGAATATGTTATTAGAGATACTAAAGAAGATCTTTGTAAAAATCCTCAAGAACTAAAGAATATTTACTGAAAATCAAGATAAGTTTTTGAAAAGAAAACCAAAGCTTAAAAAGAAAAAGAAAAAAAAGAAAATAAAGAAGAAGAAAAAAAAGATCTACCCAAAATATGGAAGAAAAATTTCAGACAGACCATTTAAGGTTTTGAAATGAAAAGACCAAAAAAAGGCCCAAGGTTTTTTGAAAAAAAGAAAGCTTATAGAAAAATATCTCCAGAGAAGACTTATGGAAAAAGTGTTCAAAAAGTAGAAGAAGGCTATGAAGCTATAAAACAAAAGGCCCAGAAAGCTCAATCTCTGTTTGGAAAAGATAGGTTTAATTAGAAGAAGAAAAAAAAGAAATACAAATCCAAACAAGAGTTTTTTGGCAATAATCCTTTATTAAGAAAAGAGATAAAATTATTTGTTAATAGAAAATTAGTTTTAGTTTATTATAAAGAGAAGAACAGTTTAGAAAGAAAAAATTGTTCAATTTAGTTTAGTTATAAATTTCTTTAAATCAAAACCATCTTGCTATAGTTTCAATAGCTAACTTGGTACAGTTCTCTAATATAGACAATAGTTTTAACTGGTAAAGCAAACTGTACTTGGGCACCTATAGAGAAAGCCGTGTGATGTCAGATATATAGTTTAGATAGTTTATAGTATATTTGTATATTAGCTTTGATCTAATAAAGATACTAGCAAGGCTGCTAATATTTTTAAAAAAAATAAATAAAATAAAAAAAAATAATTCAATTTCCTGTAAAAAAATTAAAGATGTAAAAGATCATACAATCAACAAAAAAAAGATACTGCTTTTTGATAAATATGGATAATTAATACAATAGAATTTAAATATATTATTAATTGAAAAAACATAATAATTAAATATTATAATCAATTACAATCATGTACTTTATTAATATACTTTTAATAAAAATTCTATATTACTTACAGTATACTCAAAGTTATATAAAGGTAGAAATTTTATTAATAAAATTATTTATATTTATTCTGTAAAAAATTTAATGCTTTTATCACAGTGTAAATTATTTAAATATATGTACTAATATTTGCTTTCTGTATAATTATCAATATTTTAAATTAAATAATTAATCTAGTGGTGTTTATCTACAATTGATATTTGATATACTAAGCAATAACTTCAAAATTTTTTATATAACACTAATACTAACTCCAAATTAATAATTATAGCAAAAATTTTTCTAAAATATCTGTAGTACAAATATCACTAGTTAGTTATTATAGTTTTACTTACAATTATAATTAATTAATAGGCTAAATTATAAAATATATAAGCGATTTTAGATTTATTTCATTTGATAAAGAAGAAAGATTACTTTTATTTTATTATAATAATAAACTTGATATAAGAGATCTTTACAATTTTCAATATGTTATTAAGTATAAATCTATTTCAAATTTGTATAAAGAACTTTTAAATGAAGTTTTAACAAAATTAGATATTTCTAGTAAAGAATTTAAAATATTGATAGATAAAAAATATATTATATATTAGAGGATGTTTATAAGTTCAAAAGATTTCTAAAAAACAATAGATTAAATATTTACAAAAAAGATTACAAGATTCTGGTAAAATTAAAATTCTATCTAAAAAATTACAAATAGAGAAAATACTGCAAAAACTTATAAATAAAGGTAATAATTATACAAATAACAATAGGATAAAGAAAACAAAATCTTATAAAGGATTATTAGTGAAATGAGAAGTAAATAGTGAAGAAAATCAATTCAGATATTTAAAAAATTTGATTCAAATGCTTGAGAAGATGTAGATAATATAAAATTAGAAGATTTTAAGATTTCTTATTCTAACTCAATATATATAAATATATGTATATTTATAGTTGTGATTTGTTGCATAATAATAATTTAGCAGTAATTATATCATCTGGCTTATTTATATGGTCGACTTGGCAAATAGATGAAAAAAATTAGAAAAGTTTGAATATTGTATTATATGTCGTATAGGAATCGCAAAGTTTACAAATATATAGATCATAAATACTTTAAAATTTTATTGCATAATATGCAAAACAATCAAAAAAGTATATTGCTAGCTTCAGATTTTGATTTTCTTTATAAATATAAAAAATCATATACAATAACAAGCCATCGATTAATTTTAAAGAATTGCTAGATAATTAATTAGATGATTATATAAAAGATAATATATTAATAAAATTATATAGACAAGAGTTTTTAAAATTTTGCTTAAAGTTTTAACATTATTTATTAATAGGCAAATCATGAGTCACCTAAACAAATATTTTACCAGTATGATAATATGAAATATGAGAGATGGTTTAAATTAACTTTTCCGTCCCCTATATTTTTTCTTATTTTAGTAATTACTATGCTTATCATATTTTACTTGTCTTGGAATGCATTATGATTATCATATATCCTTTTAAGGATTGGTTAGCCTATAACAAAAAAAAATATCATTATCAAATTTCACACTAAAAAAGAATAAAAATGTGTAATAATTAACTTTTATGTTTAGATTATCGAGTAAAAATCGATTTACAACCAAAAAAATGTAAATGATTTTTGCACCAAAATAAATATGTATAAATAAATTAATATTGGAAGTTTATGAAGTTTATTTGTACGATTTATTATTTAGCCTTTTATAGATTAGTTGTGAAATATTTTAAGTTATCTTGTTTTAATGCAGGTATTTTTTAAAGAAATGTTATCATTGTAATCACATATTATTTAAATTAAGTGCTTGGAAGATCATCAAACTGATATTCAAAAATGTCATACTTCAATATTAAGAGTAGGAAAAATATGGTTATTGAGTTTTGCACTGAAAAATATATATATATATATCGTCGTCGATTTTTATACAAAAATAAATATTTATAAATCAATATGTGTATGTTGGGAGTTTATCAACGAAGTTTATTTACAATTTGTTATTTAGCTTTTTATGGGTTAGTTATGAAGTATTTTAAGCTGACTTGTTTTAATGCAGATATTTTTTAAAGAAATGATATCGTTGTGATCGCATATTACTTGAAATTAAATCCTTGGAACATCATCAAACTGGGAGTAATCAGAGAAATGTCATAATTCAGTATTAAGATATCGATATTTCGCATCAAGAAAGAAATAATATAATCAATTATTTTTATAGTAAAATAAATATAGTTATCAAATTTTGATTTTTACAGCAAAATGAATATATTCATATAATTTAGCCGTAAAATGTAATAAATTTTTGCATAAAAAAGAATAAAAAAAACAGTTGCTTAGTATTATATAAAACTTTTATCAAAATTCTTGTAGATATTTCCTGCACTAATTAACCTATTATACATGTAAATATAAATCTTTTATGATTTATTTACTATTATCAAAAGAAAATTTATTATTTAAATATATATTATGGTTGAATTAAAAAAATTAAAAGATAAATGACAGAACGCTATTAAATATAAAGAACATCGTGCTAAAAGACAAAAAATTTTTATAGAAAAAGATAATCATGCAAGGGAAGTGGGTGTTCCATTACGTATCTTGGAAATGGACAATAGTTTTGACTTATTAAAAGAACAATATGCCAATTGGCCACAACCAATTAACAAGATCATTGCAAATAATGTATTAGCTAAATTCCGTGAAAATACTAGTTGTGCTTCGCTTAAAGAATTACCTTGTGCAGTTTGTTCTGGAATGTTTTATCTGAACGTTGGACAAAAATTACTGTAGGAGAGATAAACCTATCATTGTTTAAAGTAAATAAAGAATTTGAGAAATCATTTTTTGAGATCAACTATGTGTATGGACATCCATGTATTGACAAAAGTGGATGTAAAATTTTATTAGATAGGAATGGGTTTATCAGATGAAGTGAACTTAATAGTAAAGATCCATATGACCTTCGAGTATGTTATGGTTGTAAACAATCTTTAAATGTTGGTAAAACCCGTTATTCTCTCTAGCAAATATGTGGATTGGTCCAACTCCTTTGTGTTTTCAGGGATTAACAATCCCAGAGCAGCTTCTAATTTCTTCAGGATATATGTGTATAAACCTTGTTCAACTTACCAATCGACATATACACATCACAAGTTAAAAGGCCATGTGATTACTTTTACGCAAAATCCAACATCGTTTACTACCATTTTGCCTTTGCCTATGTATCATTTGTGTGATCACCTAAAAGTCGTATTCATTGGTCAAGGTCAACCATCAGAATTACAATTAAAGAAAGTATTACGTGTGAGAAAAAATAAGATTGCTGAAGCTTTGAATTGGTTAATAAATCACAATATTTTATATAAAAATGTTAAACTAGATAAAATTGCATTGAACTCTTTGCCAAAAGATAATGTACCAACAGCTCTAATGGCAACTACTGTGCTCATTGATGTTGACCCAAAAGAAGTAGACATTATACTGGATATATTACAGATCTGATGGATGAATATGATATTAATAATATGGAGAAAGAAGAATTAAATAATGATAAAGGAACACTTGAATATACTAGATTATATGATCCTATGGATGGTATTGGAGAATTGAGAAGTTCAGGTATAGCACATGTAAACAGCATTTCTGTTACTGAAAAAAATCGTATCTTGGAATTATTTAAAAAAAAAACTCAAGAATCAAGCGATGATAAAAATGATTTAAGAACAATTTTAGTACCACATTCAAATAAACCCAAGAACGAATACATAGATCCAACACTTCTAGCTGCCGCATTTCCTGTCTTATTTCCTTATGGAGTTGGTGGTCATGAATATGAACTTCACAAGCAACATATACCGTTCAAACAATATATCAATCATTTGTTGCGCCTTTATGACCCGAAATTTAGGCAACATCGCTCATTTATCTTTGTAATGTTTAATATTTTACAGAGAAGAGAAATTATGTCAGGGACAAACTTAATGACAAAATGGGCAAATTTTGAAAGATCTGCAAATTTGATTTCAAAACTAGAACTACATGATATGGAAATTGCACTTGAACAAGAACGAAACAAACTACCAATAACAAATAAAGCTATTCTTGAATTATTAAGAAATATCAATGTAGTTGGATGAAAAATAATGGGTTCACATCAATCTTGTAATGTTCTTTGTAATGAACTTCGTGCTTTGATTGTGCGAGATGGACCACCTTCATTATTCATAACAATCAATCCTGCTGATCTTTACAGTTCAGTTGTAATGATATATGCAGGAAGAGAAATTAATATTGATTCTTTACTTCCAGATGATTTTCCAACAGCAACAGAAAGGGCTAAATTAGCACATCTAGATCTAACAGCAGTAGCAAAATATTTTGATATTATCATAAAAAATATAATTAAATTTATTATTGGTCATAGAAGACCAGAAGGCGGTGTATTAGGTAAAATCAAAAATTACTATGCAGTGGTTGAATATCAAGATCGAGGCATACCCTATTGTCATATGTTAATTTGGCTTCAGGGGCTCTCAATCCAATTGAACTACAGGATCGTCTTCGAACTGATAAAAATTTCAGAGAACGATTGATGAATTACATGAATAAAATTATTAAAGAAGATATTAGTTACCTTTCCTCCAAAAGTCAATACATAACTGATGAAATGTTACACATGAAGTATATAGCCCCAAAAACAATGTTAGAAAAAAGGATGCACCTATCATTTTTACCTATCCTGAATCCACGATTGCCTGATTTTGATGAAAAATTTCGTCTTGATATTCTTGCAATCGCTAAACGTACTGTACATTATTTTACCAGTACACCAAATTATGTAAAAAATACAATCGTGGCAGAATGTTAATTGTCGGTTTAACTTCCTCGTGAGTTAGTCAAAGCACCTGAAAAAATTTATCCTGAACTTGGAATTATTACTCTCCAACGTTTTAAAGCTTATATTAACAATCACAATCTATATATAACTGCTAGCTGTCATGGTAACAATGATATCAGATTTATTGCAACTACAAAACTAGCTTTATCATATATCCACTATATTACAGACTATATAACCAAATCAGATTTAAATACTCATAATTCTTTTCTGATGTGTGCAATGACTTTAAATAAATTTCTCACTAAAATGCCAATCGAATTGTCAAAAAGTTTCATAGAAAGATCACAGAAACTTGTCACAATGTGTCTTAATAAAATTGCAGGACAAGTAAAATTGACAGGACCTCAAGTATCAGCATACCTTTTAGGTTTAGGAGATCACTATATACCAAGCAAATTTGTTTCAATCTATCTTAATTCTTTTGAAACATATTTAACTAGACAATTTCCTAAACATCTATCAAAGCAAATACTATTAGATAATCTAGACAATGATACTGACGATGATGACATTGACGGTGATAGTGAAAATGATGATAACTCAGATCAAAAAAGTTATGAAGATCATTATATTATTGATGATGAGATGTTTGCAATAACGAATTTAAATAAAAAAAAGACTCCAGCTAACTTAAGAATTGATTATATTTACCGTGGTAATCAGTTAGAATGTATGTGTCTTTATGACTACGCTACAACAATACACAAAGTAAAGATCAATAAAAAAGAATTAAGCAAACTTGATAGACAAAAAAATCGGGAAGGCCGAGTAACAAGAGTAGATCGATTTCATTTTTTAGGTGGAGATCAAAAAATGTAATGAAACTTGTGAATCTAATATCAAGTATCCACAGCATTTAACACATTTACAAGTTTACTGGTCTCGTGAAAATGAAAAAATACCAGTATTATATGGAAAAGGTGTACCAAGTAAAGGTGACATTGAAAATGCAGAGCATTATGGACTTTGTATATTGTTACTTTTCAAACCGTGGAGTAATTCAGATGATCTTTTGGGAAAATATAAGTCATGGCGAAAAGCATGTGATACATTTTTACAAGATCCAAATCTATCGGCACGATTACGGTCAATTATTAATAATATTGAACTCTTACATAGATATAAAGATGAAACTATCTTGGACCGACAATTATGTCAAATAGCTCATAAAGATCCTAATATAGCAAAACTTTAGAGAATAGAAAGATCAGTAATAGGTTATAATACTTCTATTGATGATATTGAAATGCTAGATAGCCAAGAAAATTTTGATTCTACCAATGTATCTTCATTAAATCCACATGAAGTAATCTGGTCTAGATTATGCAATACAAGATTAGTTGATGATGCCATGTTACATTTATATCTCAAAGGTAGATTTATCATGAAAGGCCAAGAGAACTATCAAAATAAATTTGGCATTTTAAATTGTAACAATGAAGATCAATTCAGACCTTCTTGTGAAAATGATGATGAGTTAATTCTAAAATGGCAAAAAATTATAGCATCAAGAAAAAAAACAGAACAAGTAGATAATTCTGAAGAAAACTGTACACCAAAACTTTGTGCATACACTTCTAATCGATTAGATTCGACTGATTCCCTCCAGCCAACAATATTAGATCGAGCAGATCTACTTCAGGAAATTTCAAATGACCTTAATAATGAATAAAGAAAATTTTTTTTTCTTATTTGTAATCACCGCCACCGAAATTATCCAGGTAGCCCCAACAAACCATTTCAATTACTATTATATCTAGACGGTGCTGGAGGCACCGGAAAATCTAAAGTTATCAGATCAATTTGTAAATATTTTAATCGAATTGGTCAAGAACAATCACTCGCTATTTGTGTATCAACAGGTTTTGCTGCATCAAATATTGATGGTTATACTCTCCACTCTTTGTGTAGCTTTAAATTCAATGATGATGATTATGATAACTTTAAATATCAATCTGCCAAAGGAAATTCGAAAAAAACACTTCAAAATCAGTGAGCAAATATAGAATATCTTATTTTAGATGAAGTGTCTATGATAGGTCAAAAACTCATAACACAGTTTCATACATGTGTTAAAGAAGCAAAACATGATCAAAATGATAACATGCTATTTGCTGGCCTCAATATCATTTTTTCCAGAGATTTCATGCAGCTTCCACCAGTACTCGATTCTCTGTTATATCAACCTAATGATATTGAAAAAGTGGTAATCTCACAAGCGACCAATTCAAATCAGAAACACATTCTAAATTCCCTCAACACCCAAACAGAATTAATACTAATGGTAGAGAGTTATGGCTATTGGTAAAACATGCTATCATTTTGAAAAAACAAATACGACAAATTGATGATCCAACATATGCAACATTATTAAATAACTTTCGTCATGGCCATCTAACAACATTTCAATATAATACTCTGTATAATCGTATAATGACAGAAAATGAAATAAATTCACCAGAATGGAAAGATGCTGTATTTTTAGTCCGAAGAAATGATCTTTGAGTTCAAATCAATTTTGAAGCTACTATCAAGCATGCTAGAGATCACAATCAACCTGTGTATTATAGTTGTGCTAAAGATACTTACAAAAATAAGCCTCTTTATAGCAATATATGACAAAAATTCCTCAGTGTATCAGATACGAAATCGAATACACTATCTGGTATATTGCCATTATCAATTGGTATGAAATTAGCTTTAACAATTAATATTTGTACAA